GGAGGGGGGGAGGGCAAAGGGGCAGAGAAAAATGTAAAGGTCACACCGAAGTGCATTACTGCTCTCGGATTGAGATTTTAATGGGGCGTGCACCCCGTGGCACGGCGCGGGGCGGCGGGGCGCTGCAGTGGGCCAAGGCAGACCAGGGCGCTGGCCGCCGCCGGGCCGCGGTCCGGGGCCTTCCTCCTCGCGGCCCCGCGGCCCCCCGTACACTACTGAACGCCTTCGGCCGCAGTATAGAGCCGGCCCGGGTGCGGCGCGCCGCCGAGTGCACAGAACGGCACACCAGGAACTCCAGGGACTGAGTAGCCTATCCGGATCAATGAGAAAATATTCGTAGAGGGTTACTATGATGGAAAAAATTCCCAAGACAAATGCCGAAATGTTGCGAGCTGATTTTGTAAAATTACAATTTCAAAATGTAAAGTTACACTTGTATGAATAGTATTTCAGAATCGAAGTCGACTAAGTTTTCTTCCACGCACAAATAAATCGTACGTTAATGGCACACGACTGCGTGCAAAATTATCCCAACGCCGTCGTAAATTTACGATCGCGTTCATGAAGATGCGTCTCCCTGCTTGACCGTTATTTCGAGTTCCTGAGTTAAATTCGTAAGAAGAAACTAAACTTCACAACCTCTTGCATGGCGCAAACTGAAGCCAGCTGGCGGCGTAAAAAAAAACGGCGCGCACAAAGCTTTCGAAACATATTAGATTGCGCTCGGACTGATGAAACACTGGGCGGTGCGCGATCTTTCTCAAAGCAGTTTCTACCTAATGAGCAGCTCTCCAGACTAATCCTGCATTTAACCCCTAAGCCTGAGTTGTGTGTTGTGTGTGTGTGAGGGGTGAGGGGGGGGGGTCCGATACGGAGAGTGTTGGATCGGGGCGACCAGCCGCAGCAGCTCAGCTACTACGAGCCGGCAGGCCACGCCAACCCACCCAAGCCGCTTCCGGAGTCCGACGTCTAGCGCACGGAGTACGGAGCGGAGTCAAGTACTGCATCCGCGCCAAACCGAGCCGAGTCGAGTCGAGCCGCTCAGGCTCAGAACAAGGAAGGGCTGAGGCATGTCGCCACGCCAACGGGCCCCGGCCGCGAGGGCAGTGGCCCGCCCTGGCCCGCCCTGGCCGATAGCCATGCGGCCACGTGTCCTGCACGTGTCCTGTGTGGCACTGACCCCCCTGCTCAGACCTCGGCTCGGACTGAGCGGACTGAGCACATGGGGGTCGAATCAATCAAAGACAAGTTAAGTTGACTAACGTATGTTTGGTCAAAGTGATCAAAATTTCGACCACACGCCTAAAATTTTATTGGTTTTGAATTTGGTGTCCTGCTCTAAACGGTTTTCTGTGGGAAGACACTGGCCCGCCCTGGCCGACTGCCACGCGGTCACGGGCCACGTGGGCTGTGCGCGTCCTGCCTTCACGTGGCGGTGTGTCGCAGACAGCAGCACACGGCACCGTGGTGGCAATGAACGAAGCCGATACATGTTTGTGCTACATTTTCCTCACAATTTCTCAGAAATTCTTTAAATAGAACTAAAGCAGATTTTTTAAAATGCACGGAATGGTGCGCATGCGCAACCCACCAGCTGGTTGGTGCTTGTAACACTCTGCCCCGCTCCACCACCCCGGCCCAGCCCGGAGGGGAGGGAAGGGCCGTGCCAAGCAGCCCGTGTGCGTGTGCGGAGCGTGTGTGTGTTGGAGCAAGTGCCGGCGGGGAAAGCCTCCGCTCGCCGCCTCCTCCCCGCCCCGCCCGGCCCGTGCTTTGCTTCGCAGACTAATTGCTTAGGAATCTGTGACTGCTTCGCGCTCCGCTCGCAGCGCGGCCCCGCGCGGCCCGCTCTCGCCATCTCGCCCATTGCCAAGTTCACCCCGGCGCTTTAGCGCCTATCGCGTCGCCTCGCACTCATCCTCGGCAGGGCGCTTTCTCGTTACTTCACGGCGCGTGCTGTGGCGCGGGGGGGGGGGGCAGTAACGAGGGGAGCCGCCTGGGCTTATACTGCAGGGCCACATAAAAGAACCGCTCCGTCACACACTGCGAACCTAATCTTTAACAATTTTACGGAAAGTGAAGGAAAAACGACCTGGTACCTGCCGCGGTTTTACTAGAACAAAACAACGACAAACCACTTATCCCAATGGCTGGGCGCTGGACGCGGTCCCCTTAGATGAGCGGAGGGCCGGGCCGAGGACCTCGCAGACGCCTGATTACAGGAGCGGGTTGCCTGGGCCGCTCCGGCCCGCGCCTCCGTGTCGCGATGCTATCGGTGATAAGGAGCGCCCGCGCGCACGCACATTGCGAGATGGAAAGTTTCACACTCGGCAGCGCAGAGCACCGGCCAGGCCAGGCCCCGCCCCGGTGGTCCCCGCGGCCACAGTGTGGCCACACGGCGGCACCGCTCGTCGCGAGAGCAGCGGCGGGGAGACGCGTCCCCGCCCCTCTCACAGCCCGGCGGGGTAGGCAACGCGTGTGTCCCGCGCGCCCCGCCGTGCGGCGGGTCGCCTACCCGGAGGTTGGCAGGCGCTCCGGCCCTCCTCCCGCCGCGAGCGGGAAGACGGGGCGAGGAGTGGGCTGAGCAGCGGGCTGAGCAGCGGGCTGAGCAGCGGGCTGAGCAGCGGGATGAGCAGGCTGAGCAGGCTGAGCAGGCTGAGCAGGCTGAGCAGGCTGAGCGGGCTGCCGACGCGCGGCCTCGCTACCACGACCGTGATAGCCTCCGTTTTCGTATTATTTATTTATTTTTCCCCGCGAAGACGGATTAAACTCGCTCGATTGACCTCGCGGTCGGGTCGGTGCGGCGCGGCAGGTGACCGCGGCCGGCCGGCCGGCTGTTTGAATGTCTACCGCACCGGCACGGCCAGCCTCGTTCTCTTCCGCGGCGGGGTGAGAGGGAGTAAGGGGCGGGAGGGGGGAGCGGGGAGGACCGAATCCTTTCTCCAAACTGGTCCATCAGGTCCGACGGCATAATGTCACAATGTTACGAGGTCGGGTCGGTCTCGCGGTCGGTGGTTATTGTATTCATTGGAATACGGGTGAGGCTAAGACTGTCCCCTTCAACACAATACTTTACTTTGTAAAAACCATGCCGCATGCGGCCTAGCTGCAGCGAGCATATCAATATCGGCACTAATAACGATAAAATTGAAGCACGTAATAATATCAGGAGGGCGACTCGTTTGTAGAGCACTAGAGCACAGATGCTGTGCTGCAGGCAGGCAGGCAAGAACGCGTGCCTGAGCTACGGGATCACGAGCGTTTCAAGCAATTATTGGTCACTCATCTCGCCGAGGACATACCGAAAACTGGGTCGTGTACAGCAAATCGGTACAACGGTACGACACCCTCCGTCACTTTCGTGTCCGAATAAGTGTAGAGGAGAGTGGAAAGCAAAAGCCATAACAGAGCATAAATAGCTATGCCCCCTCCCCCCCCCCTCTCACAATATCGGCATTAGAGTTATGGAAAGTATCGTATGCCGATTACCGATTTAGAATTCGGACACGACCCTTCCATCGTTGCACATAGAAAGAAAACAATGTCTGCCATAAATCTTTCATTTTTCGGGTATAACCAGAGACACAAGGTACACAGGAAGCTTGCGACGAATGTCGTTACAGCAAGTATTGCGAGAGCAAATGGGGCTAAATGTGCTGGTTGCGACAACAGGTACAAATGGATTGTCTAACTTATACATTTTAGTACCTTGCAAATAAACAGACACACAACAACAATGGGTCGAAAGTGAAGTAAAATGTTTTGACTTCACATTTCTTTAACCAGCAATAAGAATTCTCTCTACCTACCTATTTTAAATTTCAGCACAAGACATGTGCACCATAACCCTATCTTTGCACCTCCGATTTGGAAACCTTCCAACACGCAAATCTAAAATACCTTTGAATGTAGAACTTGATCTCCTGGTAGCTGCAGATTTGAGGCGTGGCAATGTGCACTTGTTTCTCATGTGGCACACCATTTTCACAATCACTTCAGCATATAAAATATCTACAGTCCACACACACACGCCGCACACGTACACTGCACTGCACTAATGCAAGATTCGCGTCGCAACGGTATGAAAAACTGGTCGGTCTGACGAAAAAGGGGGACAGTTCCGTAAAGTCTGGCCAGTCGAGGAATGCCCCTAGGCTACGCCTGAATCAGTCTTTCGCTGGTTCGAGTGTATTCCCAATACCAAGCCACAACACGTAGAGCCGTCTCTACCGTAAAGGAAGGGTGGTTGGAGTAGAGAGGGGGTGGGGCAACAGCCGCCTGCCACACTAGAAAGCTAAACCGACTTGTTACTTTGACACGCAAAGTATAGAAACGTATACAAAAAATTGAAAATGTCTCATTAAAATCTAGCACACATTTCGTTTCCCGCTTAGGTGCACAGCGAGACGCATTGCCGGCCCTTTGGCCCGAGGCACCCCATACTCCTTGCGAGAGCGCCGCTCGTAAAAATTTGGAGCGAACGCGACGAGCGTATGGTCGTGTTGGTGGAGTTGCACAACGGTAGCACGGCTGCGATCGAAAGGTGGACGTGAATGTGTGTCGCGTAATGAGAGCGGCATGAAGCGGTGTGAAGCGAATGGGAAGGGGTGGGGTAGTGGGGTATTTGCAGATGTCGCGGCCGCGCCGTGGTTCCGGCCCGTGCGCGCCCCGCTGTGCTGCTGACCCGTGCCTGGCCTGACCCCGCCTGACCCTGTGCCCCTCTGTGTTGCCCGCAGGTGCTGTGCTGCCTCGCGGCCGCGGCCGCGCAGCTGCCCCCGCGACTAGAGGTGCCGGGCGCGGCTCCGTCCCCGCCCCAGCGCCCCGCCGTGTACCGGCGGCCCGCCTCCAGGGCCTACCACCCGCGGCAGGTCGACGAGGACGACGGCCCCGCCCCTGCTCCCCCGAGGCCCGTGGTGCGAGTTCGGCGGCCCACGGCCCGCAGCCGCCTCCAGCAACAGCAGCAGCACCAACAACTGCAGCAGCAGCACCAACAGCAGCAGCACCAACAGCAGCAGCAACAACAACAACAACAGCAACAACAACAGCAGGCGCAGCCGCGGCAGGACTTCCCCGTGAGCCTCACGCCCAGGCCCGTCAGCGAGGAGCCCGAGGACGCGCCGGCGCCACCGCAGCCCACCAGGGTGCGTACCGCCGCCAACCTCGTCCAGCAGCGTCACAATAAGGCGCCTCCTACACGGGCACGGGGTAGCTTGTCGGGCATGACGATCGGATATGTCTTTAACCACGGGTGTTTGTGTTGTTTGAACGGCATGCTCACTTATTAGTTTTATGCAAAGAAAATACAACAGAATCGAGACTATTGTTGATAATGGCTCGTGTAAGTGTTACACATTCAGCTTCTATGATGGTTGGATTTTTGTCTTGGTCTTGCTGTTCACACGAAATGCGAGAAAGTTTGCAGTCAGAGACTTGAGCCGACACCTTGTCCGCTCATCGGCGTTTTCATTGAGCCTGCCTCGTACCGGCGAGGCTGTCGTATTGGCTGCGGCTTGTCCTCGCCGCGACACCACGGGGCTCCGCATGTGCGTGTGTGTGTATGTGTGTGTATGCGAGTGAATGCCCGAGCCCAGCATGTTCCTTATCAGTCCCCCATTGCCTGGCTTGGGGTTGTTGCAGGACGAGGTCAACGCCATCCTCCCCACGGCCAGCCCATCCCCATCCTCACCGGCCCCATCCTCCCCTTCCGCATTCTCCCCGTCTTCACCCTCCCCGTCCCCAAAGCAGGTGTCACCGGCCCCCTCGTCCCCGCTCCCCCCGCCGCAACCAGCGCCGGCGCAGCCGCAGGTAAGACACGCACGAGAGGGGTTGGGCCCGTCTATAGGCCCGCCACCAGGCCTACCATCAGGCCCACCCTGCCACCTGCCACCCGCCGCGGGCCAGAACCACACCATCGCGCATCTATGGGCCGCGCGGTCCAAAGGACTCGTTGTTTGACATTAAATTTTGTGCATTGCCCCTCAGCTCGACGAGGAATATTAAGAATAAGAATAAAAATACCCTAGTAGTTCAGAAAACAAATAAACAAAATTCGGTGATGGCAGTATTTATTTTGGCAATCACAATAAATTGTATTTTGTTTACGGTGAAAGTAATTGGGTTCACTGGTTGCGGTGCTCTCGCTGACGTCCTGGCTGACGCCCCTGCTGACGGCCTCCTTGTGCTCCCAGGGCGCCTTGGCCGGCCGGTTCCTCCAGCCCGCCGTGTATCGCAGCGCGCGCCCCCTCGGCGGCCCCCCACACCAGCTCCACGGCGGCTTCCGCCCCTCCAGCAGCGCCTCGAACGGTGCCAACGACGAGGACAACGTGATCCTCGCCAGGCCGGCCAACCCACGCGCCTACCTGCCTGGTACGGGGCCCAACGCGCCGTCCTCGCCGCCATCCTCGGCCTCCACGGCAGCACCCCTGCTGGAGTTGCCACTGGGCCCCGCGCCCCCTTCGCCATTCGCCGACGAGCCCAAGCAGCCCGTGTTCAGACCCGCGCCAGCACCCCTCACCGCCATCCCCGCAGCACAGCTGCAACTGGCCCAGCAGCTGGCTGCCCAACAGAAGCAAGCTGTGCGTGCCCCCCAGCCCCAAGCCCCTGGCCCCGGCCCCAGTCACCAGCCACCTCCTCTAACGCCCTCCACTCTGCCCAGGCTCAGCAGGTGTCCAGCGCCTCCTCGCCGGCGCCGACTTCCGTCCAGGACGAAGAGGACGAGGACGACGATGAGGCCGTAGCCAACCCCAACCGGCGACAGACCCTGGTGCCGTTGCCGCCCTTCAGGACCACCCACGGCGGCAACTTCCTAGTGACGCCGTCCACCTTAGACTTCGACGACGACCTGCCCCTCGTTGGCTTCACGCCATCCGTGCCTCGGCGCCCGCAGCCGCAGCAGGTAAGGACACCCACCGACTTGTACACCAGGCCTCCGCCCATACGGAGAGGGATAGCCTGATCCTGGTGCTCGAGACCTGACCCTGACGTGTGCCCCACAGCAGGTGTTCAGGCCGTCGCCGCCCCTCGATCTGGACAACAACGCATTCTCTCCGTCGCCGCGCCCCCCGCCGCCGCAACCTATCCAGGTCAGAGCCGTCCCCGCAACCCTAGTACCAGTGGTGATAAGAGCGCCCCACTGCGGTCACAGTTGGCGCGTGAGGTCATAGAGTGAGAACAGTGAGAAGGCTGACCCTGCGGCGTTGGAGCCTCGCCCATACTGGCTCTCGTGCTGGACTCTCGGGTGCGTTCTTTGATCAACACCCCCGCATAGTATGGATCTAGCTGCGTTACCGGAGTCATGGGTAGCCGTGAGTGGTTCAAGGTCGCCATGACCACCCAGTCGTAAAGCCCTTTTCGAAGTTGAAGCCATCCCGTGTAGACTGTAGAGCGCTATCGTAGAGGTAAGGCGGTGGTGGTTGAGGTTCATTCATTGTGATTGGTGTTCAAAAGCGTTTCGTGTTTGTGTTGATGTGGTTGTGCCTGTC